ACAAAATAAATAAATCTTCGTGTACTTAAATTTATTTAATTTTTTATTGGGGTAGCTGTCCCCTTGCTGGATAACGTAGATCCGCCTCTGCATACTCTCCAGTGAGAAGATATTGAGATAACATGCCTGTTATTAAGCCATCGCATCGCCGGCTCCCGCAACAACGCCCTCACCTTCGTCAGCAATCTCTAGATCAATGGTCTCATCTGCATCAGGCTGAGGGGCGCTTTCGGCAGCAAGAGTCGGGTCGGAATCACTTCCCTCGACGGGAACATCCTCTATGGCCGCACGGACCGCCGATCCCTCAAAACTCTTCATCTTGCGCTGAAGTCTGCGCAGCTCTGAAGCCTTAGACTTCTTCGCATCCTTAGCCTTGAGCAGAGAAATCGCGGTCTTTCCCAGATCGCGCTCCAAATCACTAATCCTAGCCTCGAACTGAGACACTTCCGCAGAATGCATATCTTCTATCACCTTAGTTTCCCTTCGAGCTGAACGGACCTCTCCCGCAACTCGGCCAACTCCTTAGCTAAACACTCAACTTCAGACCCGCACTCTTTGATCACTCCATCGATCAACGAAACAAACTGAAAAAGCCAAAATAGACGATCAGACACCAATTAAAAATAATATTTTTAAAGGTGTACTCGCGAACCTTTACCTTGGCACGGTGTTGCGACATCAAACCCAAGCTTGGCGCCTTGCTCGACGAAGCTCCAGCCTCCAGACCTTCGCGCAGCTCTTTCTCTTGGGAGCATCAGAGTTCGTGCAAGGTCTGTTACGACCTTTGGCTGGAGCAGCCAGCGTTGCACTAAGTGCCGGAAGTCCCAGAACAATCACCCCCTTGGCCGGAGGAGGAGGCTTCAAAGTCGTAACCGGCTTGACCTCGGTAGGAGCCGCAACCGTTTCGATCTCGGCGGGAACCGCTACAGTTCCAACCTCGGCAAGGGGCAGAACAGCGGATGAACCGACGGCTCGACGGTGGCGCCCGTCGAAGGTTTCGCTACGGCGCTCGCCGTTTCGTCTGGAATAGCCTCGACCTCTTCCACAAGAATGGACGGGTTCACCGGGGCTGCACAAGTCGGCACTGTAGCTTCCTCAGCATCGCTGCAATCCATCTCCTCCTGGAACAAGAGGAACTCGGAGATGCGAGCATCCTGCGAATGCGCCGTAGGATTGTCACTAATTGAGACCTCATGGTTTTGTTGATCACTGTGGGAAGAAGACATCTTGACAATTTTCTAGAGAGAAGTTGGAGGGAAATTTGAGAGATGGAAGATATGTGAAGTAATGATCCAAATACTTATAGAAAATAAGACCTCATCTCTCGTAATGAGACGAATCGCAGCCGTGGATTCCGATTAAAACAACTCCAGTCACCCGCAAAAACCTTCTCCGAAACTTGCGAGCTGGGGGGCTAACTGTTGGTGTCAAAAACCGTAATCTCGAAATCAACGCGTACGATAATTTCTGTTCAAGATAAAATCATTACTTTCCGTAAAAAATAAAAATACGTTTTATAAAACTCGAGAAGTCGTTTTATAAGATTCTAAGAAGTTTCCAAACTAAGGAAACACGCGGAAAACTTGAAAATCGTTATCTCGGAAGAACGAAACAAACGCCGATTACACGATCGCCCGAGTTAAGCACAAAACCGCGAAAATCCGCATCCGCCGTAAACCGCAAGCTGGTTCGGCCAAACTAGCTCGCCATACGGCGAGCTAGGTGGCATCAAGCTAGATCGCCGTACGGCAAGCTAGTCACTTAGCCTAACCAATCCGGTTCGGCTCGTCGTACGTCGAGCTGACCATCCCGAGCCTCGATCTCCCACGTCCTCGATTCAAGGCATACGTTGGTCGGCTCAATCATGTTCTAAACCATGGTTAAACGTCTCTAGTTTCGTCTCGATCCGTCCCATCGTTCGAGTTTTACGATAAAAACCGTAAAGTCTTGTTTTTTCGAAAGAACTCAAGGGAATCATATAAAACGGCAACGGCTAAACGAAACACCAAGCATTTCCTAAACTATATGATTTACTCGAGACTTTTGGTAAGAAATCGTAAAAAAACGTGTTTTTAATAAAACCTCGAGTGAATCATAGAAAACGGCAACGATTAACCGAAACATCGAACATTGCCAAATTTTACGATTAACTCGAGAAACTTATTTAAAAACGGCACCGCATCAGGAAACGAACTCGTATAAAGTCGTAAAACGGTTTTATTGCAAAACAGCTCGAAGAGTCTTAAAATGCGATAAAAGCCTATCTCGTAACTTTAACGAAGTCTAACTCAAAGATACGACGACGTTTTAACGATTTACTCGCAGGAAGAGGATAAATGTCAAGTTTGAGGATAAAGAGAAAATTTCCGCAGGAAAAAAGGAGAGATAAAGATAAATGGAAGATTCTCGATAAACTCGAATCTGGGCGAAATGGAAGGACTAAACCGCCTAGGAAGGGAGTATATAAGCAAGAGGCAGAGGATAGAAGCAGAGGACAAAAATTAGACCTAGAGAGGCAGCTTTTAGCTTAGGCGAATTTAGGACTTAGGTGTTTAGACTAGCAAGTCGGATGCTTAGAACTTTTTGACGTCTAAGTTCCGCGATTCTCTTTGTAACAGTAGTCAATCTAATATTCAATAAAAGCTCTTACGCAAATTATTTATCTATACCCTGTTCGTCGTTATTCTTATTCATCCATATTATGTTAACTTTGTTCGTTGTAGTGATTTCCGTAGAGATCCAGGACCTCGAGAGAAT